ACCGATGAATTATTTCAAGTAGCTTTATGTCCCTAATATTTCCCACAATTCTACTTAAACGTATTGCCTGTGTCACTTCTGGTTTGTTTGCTATCTAGACCAACTTTCTTTTTTTCAAATAAAACACCCTGTATGTGATTGCATATTTGGATTCTACGTAAAATTCTGAGCAGATTTCATGTGATATACCCTATACCTAAGTTCAACTGTTTTGGAAATATTGACAGTTGAACATTGACTTTTTGCAACTTTGACAGGCTGTAAAACCTGAACGGTTAATTTCAGAGGAAAACCGATTTCACATTCCTATCTTAGATTTTCATAAACTATCATTTGACATCAACATTTAATTTAATCGGAGATTAAATTTAATTGGAATTTTCAATTATAGATTAAATTCAAAGTTGGTGCGGATTTACGTCATCCGCAGTCGATTCGCTCCCAGATTGCTGCGCCCAAACGTATTTAAAAGTATTAAAAATTTGGAAAAATAGCAAAAACCATATGGAATTTCATGTTGGATAATGCTTGATGAATATGTTTGTGTTTTCGTTAAAAATTTCTTTGTTGCGTCGCTCAATAGGGGGGGGGGGGGGGGGCGCGCCCCCGCGCCCCCCTCTAAATCCGCCACTGTCAAGAACTCCAAATCGATGAAGAAATATTCAACATCGATATAGCAGAAATCAGATAATTCATATCTGACATTTCGAACGATTTAAAGTTTTACGAAGCCCAAACCAGAACTCTAAACCTCTGTGAATCATTAATGGAAAGCTACGTATTTCTAGAAAATTCCCTTAATGACATTCTAGAAGCAATAACGTTTGCACGCTTAAAGATCTTACATACCTCAATTATAACTCCTAGAGACTTGGTCGCCCCCTTACAGGAAATATCGCGCTCTTTGTCCAAAAATAACCTTCCTTTACCTACATATCTTCCATATGTAGCACGATATCCGGATATAATTGATTTAGAAGCTTATCGATCAGAAGGTAAAATTGTCTTTATTCTTAAAATACCGCTGATCGAACCTGAAATATACACTCTTTATCACATCTACCCTATCCCGATTTTGGATAATCGAACAGGTTCTCATCATATTTTACCAATAACTCAAAAATATATCGCGAGGGACGACGATTCTTTATTGTACATATTACTCCAAAGCCTGGATCACTGCAAACCTCTTGATAATAACACAAGGATATGTTCTGACCTTCTACAATATCCTATAGACAGTGATGCCATTTGCGAAGCCCAACTCCTGAAGTCAACAAGGACACTTCCCAAGACTTGCCAAACCTCAATCTTACTCGCTAGTGACTACAATGTTTACACAAACTACTGGCTCATAACATTATCATCGTCTCTTCCAATCACTATTAGATGTGATGGCAAAAACAGTGTGATAGAAACAATCAACACCAACACAGTTCTCAAGCTCCAACCAACCTGCAATGTCTTTGTAGGAAACTTTAGGATTTATGCTAGGAATCTAGCAGAAAAATACAGAAACGTCACCTATAAAAGCCATCCATTGGAAATTCCCTATGATTGCTGCAAACACCTGCCGGTGGATCTTCATGTGCCAGAGTTGAAACCTCTCAAACTATCTAAAATCAACATCGATGATCTAAACGTGGCATAGCATAGACTAAACCAATTTTCCGATGAACTGGACAAACTAATCCAAGAACCATTCGTATCAAGACACAGTCGATGGTTTACCTCCTTCATCATCGTAGTAATAGAAGCCCTTGTAATCATTTACATTTGTTGTAAGTGCCGGCGAAAGGCACCTCCCAAACCTAGCCCTATCGACGAAGACGAACCACAACCGCCAAAGTCTCATTCACGTCTTCAAATAGGCAACAACCTTAGAAAGCTTTTACCGAAACGAAAAAACTGTCACAATTACAATCACACAAACACATCCAAATCTACCCTCAGAACAAGAGATGACCAGTCTACACAACAACCCAGTTGGTTTTTGGAAAAAAATTTTTGCAAAGCACCAACTTTTTACTTAATGGGGGAGCTGTTAAAGGGTTTTTCAATTGGGACGGGTCGAAGTTGGCAGCCTGTGGCGGCCATGTTGTTTCCAAAGCTTTTGTTTAACCTGTTGTTTATTATTCAGTTACTGGTGCCAAATTACCATGGCAAGTTACACGATTGAGCAGCACGTCCAAATGATAAAACTGTATTATCAAAATGATTGTTCGCTAGTCCTAACGTTGCGCGCGTGAGGCCATCACCGTCAACGGCGACCGCTACAGAACCATGATTACCGATTTCTTTTGGCCCAGACTAAACAATATGGACGTGAACGACATGTGGTTCCAGCAGGACGGTGCTACGTACCACACAGCGGACGCCACGATGAATATGCTGCATGAACGATTTGAGGGTACGATTATCTCTCGCAGAGGTGACGTAAATTGGCCGAAAAGGTCGTACGATTTGACCCCTTTGGACTACTTCTTGTGGAGTTTTCTGAAGTCTCAGGTCTATGCCAATAAGCCGCAATCGACCGATGCCCTTAAAGTGAACATAACCCAGGCCATCGCTCAAATTCAGCCGGATGTATGCGGCAGAGTAATTGAAAATTGGACCAGTCGGTTCCATGCCTCCTTGAGAAGCCGCGGTGGATATTTGAACGATGTGATGTTCCATAAATAATGGCATACAAAGACCCTTAAATTAAAAATAAAATTTTGGTAATACTTTACACACAGCTTATTTCATTTCTCTTTAACATCGACCCGTCCCTATTGAAAAACCCTTTATATGGATTTCACGACTACATTGACCTCAAGATGCGTCTCATCACCACGGTGGTAGAAAGTATCGCAAAGTCTAGACGCTACTTCTGCAAGTTATCCTGTCTGAACATGTCATGCCAAGAACCGCTCCATCGTCGCAACGATCCCATAGAAACAGCAAGATCAACATGTTTTAAAATATAAAAGATCCTGTCTCTTTAAGCGGTTACACACGGACGTGGATGGCTTGATACATATACGTGCATATATCAACGTGCAAACAACAAGGTGCATGTCGCGTTTGTACAGACGCTCGCACAAAACTGCAGTCTTGCTATTCTTGCTACAGTAATCCGAGTGTGCATACAAAATTTCTAGCGATTCCACATTCAAAAACGCGACGGTATTTTGCATAAAATGTGTTTTTTTTTTTAAAGATAAAAGTCAAATTGACATTATGTTGGCAATACAATGTAAAATTGTCAATGCTTTCAAATTTTTTATGTAGAAAAGGCTTGTGTTGCCAACATAGTTACTAAATTTTTGACTTGGGGAATTATCTTTAAAAAAAAACAGACTTTACACATTGATGTTTTTGTTTGCGCGTTCATGTATGTGCGTACATGCTTTCAGACATCTACGTCCGTGTGTAACCGCCTTTTAGTTTAAGCGTCATTATTCGTCATAAGTATAATTGAGTTAATGTCCGTTTTTATTGTAACCTGTATTTTAAAATAAATTAGTGTTTTTTTAAAAGTGATTTCAAGAGTTTTTGAGATAACATGCATGCTTCTCTACATTCGCAAGGAAAGAACTTTTTTATTTATATACAGTTTCCCATATCCGTTAGATTATTGGGTCAATTGGAGATTTTTTCTTGAGTTTGTATTTGAGCTAAATACATTTGCAACATAATTCACTGTATCTTCTCTGATAGCCTCTGAAATGTTTAAGACTGGTCCCTGTCATACTTGCTGCTATTAGTTTTGTCTTTCATCTTTTCTCGTTTCCTCGAATTTCTTTATCCGATTCTCAGAATATCCACATTGAAATCTTTTTTATGTTTACGATTTCCTTTCTTTTGGTATCTTCACTGGTGGATTCTGTTATGTGTAATAATGATATGATAATTTCATATTTAGTGGCTTAAAAGTGGTTTGAATTAAAGTTCAGTTTGTTGAATGAGTTGGTTTTCTGTATGCCGAGGTGTTAACCTTCCTGTAGCAAAACAGTGCCTGAAGCTGAGACTTCTGGTTAATTCTTAGTGTGTATGGTTAATTACCAGTACCTTCCTATAAAGCAGATACAGGAGCAGGCTTTAATTCATCAAAATCATTTTGTTGTATAATGCTTCAAATCAAACTTACATTGGACGAGAAATTTCTGTAAACTCATTAACATGTCCACCGTTGTTCCAGGTTTGACATCAATTCAAAAAGCCTAAGCCTTATTACAAAAACACTTTTTAAATAAAACTGTCGTATCAAGGACGTTATCGTCCATCTTGAAGTAATTGTTCAAGTGCTGGTTCCATTTATTCTTTATTGTCAGCAGTTTATGGTAATTATATGGGGAGAAAGTTACCAGTGTCTATTCTAAATTCGGCAAAAGGTGTCTCTCCTGACCCAAAGACAAAGACCTTCAATAGATAAACTTTGCTAATATGTAATAACTTTTATTTATTGTTCTCCAGTGAGCAGTGTCTCTGCATCATTTCGTTGAAAATTGATAAATTACCTACTTGAAGTCTTGGCAGCAATGAGTAAGGTGATAAAAGTAGGACTAAAGTGATCCTCAAGAATGAGATTTACTATAGCAACTTTTTTTTTTTTTCATTCTATGACCCTATTGATATCTCACTAAATTAAACAAATTGGGTAAAGTAGAACTGGGGGGTTTTTCCCTGAAAAAGAAAATTGAAAAATAGGTAGGTAGGTACATCAATTTTGAAGACTCCGGTACTAAAACGAACTGACTTAACTTGCGGATATACACAGGAATTACTTACCTCGTTATCGTTCGTATTTGTACACCAAAAACTAGGATTGACATTAATTTAACGTCTCCACTTTATAAATCATCAAAAAGAACAGAGCAAGATAAGCATAGTGTAATGTTAGCTAAGCAAAAAATTTAAAAAAATATTGAATGGCAAACAGACGTTATAACCATCAATTAACTAACGTGGTGATGGACTGGGGCGCCTGCGTCCATTGGACTTTTTTCCGAAGATAGTCAAAGATAGGAACGTACTGGCACCTGGGGGTGCAACGCCGGATGTACTAGGGTGTGGTGCTGTAGAGCTGCGGCTCCTGGTAGTTCAGCTGCTGCTGCTGCTGCTGCGGCAGCAGAATACGCCAACGGATGATGCCATAGTTCCGGGCCGCCAGGGAAAAACGGCGTTCCCAAATCTGTAACATAGACTTTGATTTAAAATAAGCATCTGCGCAAATAGCAAATGCAGTGATATATACAAAAGTTTGTGATTGATAATGGGTTTGGTAGTTTTGTTACTCTGTTATCAACATAATGCTTTAGGAGATTTTCAATCGGTAAGCTTCTTTATTATTACTTTTAATTATAAAAAAAAATCTCATCATTACAAATTATCACAAAGTTAATTGAACATTATAACAAACGAGCCTGAATTACACGCCTTATCTCCTAACGAGTCCCCCATCCTTCCAAACCCAACCAATCAATAATAATTAATTAATAGTCGATTACTCTGCCAGTTTCAGCCTGGTCCACATCATTACACTCAAAACCGCAAAGCTTATTAAAGAAAAATCACTACTTCGTCCAGGTGACGGAATATAAACCGTGATAGAATAGCTATGTGAGTGACAATCATGTTAGGGTAATGGAGTTTCATAGTAGCAATTATGTATTAAAGGTATTTCCTGACAGTGACCGCATATTGTCCTCGGGGAGGTTAGGATAGAGTGCTTCTCCTGGTCATCCATTGAAATTCTTGAAATTTTAATAATCCTAACATGTGAACTAGAAATTGAGCCACATAGAAATATATTATAAATATTTATAGTACGAAAATCAACTATTGTCACAATCATGATGATATCCGAAGTTAAATTGACACCACGAGCAAATTATAAACATAAGATACAAGGGCTTATCTAAAATGGCAATTAAATTGATTAAACAGTAGGATTCGTGATAATGACAATAATGCCAGAATGTTAACGTTGCAATAAATGAGGTAATATTTTTGCGTAATGGAATGAGAAATAGAGATAGGTAATTTTTAAGAGATTGAAATATATACCTACGTAATGTCTGCCCAGCGACTATATGTCTACGGGGCAACGGTAAGGGGAATGGAATTGTAAAAAAAATGGCTCCGCACGCAACTTTTTGGAAGTGTTATAAGTATTATTCCAACTCGTACACGAAAATCGACAATGATCAAACCGCCGCCACTGGATATTTGAATATAAATTGATATTCCAAGATGGGAGGATAAAATGACAAGAGCTCTGGCCAATACGGATACGTAAGGTGACGTTAGCCCACTGACAATTGCATGGTTCCCTGTGGCAACGGTGATCCAATATATAAATATAGCCTTAATAAACTCAGCGCATTGACTAACTACTGACAATAAAAATGAAATTGATACATAAAATGGAGGTTTCATGTAAAATATACCTAAAGAAAAGTAAAATGAGGGATATTTATCCCCGCATATTTTTGTATAAATTTTTTGACTGATAGTCTTCTTCAACGTATTGTGCGTTGTGTAACTCTGCTTCATATATTTTATTCAAGAATTCAAAGGGTATCAGTTTTTTTTTTTCATGTATGCCTTGATTTGGAAGTCTCCTTTAATCTAATGATGTGTGGAAAATTTGCTAAATGGAAGTCTGCATGATCATAATTTGTTCATAGGAATTCAAATTCTTCAATAACCAGTGATTCCTATTGAATTTATTTGGTTGACATTTTTCGTGAGAAAGAAGGGGTTCAAGGATCTTCGAGGGTGAACAAACATGTTCGTGTGATGAATTTTCCTAGAAGAAATATTGATCTCACTGAATCAAAGGATTCAAGAAGCACCTGTTGAGTAACCACGGTATTTTTTTTTTTTTTTTGGTGGGGAAGTCGTCTGATTAAACTCCGAGTAGCGCTGCAGCCGGAAGCTTATTGTGCTGAATCTTCCTGTTTACTGCACCCATTTCAAAACCCTGGTTCCCTGCAGTAGGCGAAGTAGGTCTGTTGGATGTTCGCCGTATGTGTCTGGTTCTTCTTTCCCAAATATATTTTGTCTTCTTCGAGTTAGTGCATCGCATTCTTATATAATATGTTGGGCTATTTCGGTCTCTGTTCCGCATAGTCTGCAGCTTGTGTCTCTGTTGTACAAGCCCATTGTTTGCAGGTCCTTCTTTATTGGGGCCGGTTGCTACTCTGAGTTGATTTCTGCTTAGTTGTAGTAGTCTTTTTGCTCTTTTGCTGCATGTCTCACGTATGAAGATTTTCCCATGTGCATGCTTGGGTATTTGCTTCCAGTTTCACTCTGATCCATTCCATCAGCTCCTTTCTTACTATGCTTTTGGGCACTCCGAGAGCTGGTGGTTCGAGATCAAGGTATTCTATGGATGACCTCCTGCGTGCAAGTTCGTCAGCCTTTTCGTTGCCCGGGATGCCTCTATATCCTGGCACCCACATCAATGTGACGTTATTTTGGTCCGCCAAGTTGTTGAGTTCTTCGGGGCATTTTATTACCAGTTTGCCTTAGGGTTTTTCAATGCTCCCAGTGCTGCCAGACTATCTGTGAGTAAAGTGAGTCTCCTGTCTTTGCAGGCCCTCATATTGTTGATTCTTACGAGTTGTAGTATCGCATATACCTCTGCCTGGAAAACAGATGTATGTGACCCTAGAGAGAAGAAGGTCTCGCATCTTCCTTCTTGACTGTAGATTCCTGCACCTGTGCCATTCTCAGTTTCTGATCCGTCCGAGTACCAGATCTGGCCTTCGAGATTGGAGTGGGCATGTTGGTTTTCCCATTCCTCCCTTCCACTAATCAGGACTTGGAAGGATATGTCGGGTGAGTATTTGGGAAGTGCATAATCAGGTCGAATACTGTCAGATTTATAACTTTCCCTATTTGTGTGTGGCCTGATCTGACTGTTTGTTCTAGTTGTTTCGTTGTTTGTGGAGGCCCATCCTGGCTTCCGCCTGAATCACAATGTGTAGCGGAAGTAGGTCTAGTAAGACTTCCATAGCTGTTATTGGTGTGCTTTCCATTAACCCTGTACTGCTTAGTCTTTGCACCCTGCTAACTCTCATTCTGGCTCTGATTTGTTGTGTCTTTGTCCATCATATCAAAGACGCATAGGTTATTGCTGGCTTTAAAACCTGTGTGTATAGCCAGTAGTGTATCATGTCTGGCCGCAGCCCCCAGGTTTTTCCGAAAGTTCTCCTGGCTAGTATAAGTACCAGTTCTGACGTTTTAATTACTTTGTCCAGATGTTTGTTCCAAGTTAATTTTGAGTCTATTATAACCCTAAGATATTTAACTTCGTCCGACATCGTAACTGGGTTTCCCTCAAGGTAAAGAGCTCCAAGTACCTCCATTTTCCTTCTTTTGGTAAAAGGGATAATTGTCGATTTGGTGGCACTAATTTGCAATGCTACAGTCTCTGTCCACCTAGAGACTTTTGTTAGAGCCTGCTGCATGCGATCTCTTACTGTATGGTTGAATTTTCCCTAGGATATTATGACCAAGTCATCTGCATATCCCACTACTTGATGGTTGTTGCTTTTCAGTAGCTTTATCAGCTCGTCCATGACCAGATTCCACAGCAGGGGTGATGACACTCCGCCTTACGGACATACCTTTGCAACCCGAGCTGTTACTGTTTTACCTTGGAGCGTGGAGTGGATGACTCTACCTCGGAGCATGCAGTCTATCCATCTGCAGTATGTATCATCAATACCTCGTCCGTAGTGCTCTCATGATTGCCTCGAAGGGAGTGTTGTCAAATACTTCTTCTATATCAAGGAAGGCTCCCAACATAACTTCCTTATTTTCCAACGTACTTTCTACCCGCTGGAAGAGGTGATGTAGTGCTGCTTCAATTAAGGTTCCCGCTTTGTAAGCATATTGCTCCGGATGTATTGTTCTGGTAGCCAATGCACCACCCCGAATGTGGGGCTCAAGCAGTTTTTCTAGAGCCTTCAACAAAAATGACATGAGGCTTATGGGTCAGAGCTTTTGCATTGGCCTGACCTATTTTGCAAGGTTTGGGGATGAAAACAACTCTAATTTCTTTCCAGGCTTTGGGGATATGATTTAGTCCCAAGCTTGGTCTTAATATAATCAGAAGCCTGGAGTATAGCGCGCCTTTTGCCTTTTTGTAATAATACTGGATAAATCCCATCTGATCCACGGGATTACTAACCAAGCTCTATTTTAGGAATGGAAATCGATATCGATTTTAAATTCTGAGGATGTGCATTGTTGATATCAATGCAGAATTTCAGCATAAAAATAAATGACTGTCGCTTTCGGTTTGAATGGAAGTGCATCAACTTCTTTATTTCGGTTGGATCTTCTTCTTCTTTTTCAACCCATATCTATCGACTCCTGGACATAGGTATGTCTCAATCCCCTCAATGCTTCCTGTTCCGTGCTGTATTTAACCAATATTTACCTGCAACTTTTCTAATGTCTTCCACCCATCCTTTTTGTGGGCGTTTAATCCGTCTAGTCTCTGTGCCCATCTGTCTCTTGCCAGTCTATCCACATGACCAGCCCATCGCCATTTCATCCCAGCCACCTCTTGTATTATATCGATAGTAATTCCAGTTTGTCCCCTGATTTTTTCGTTTTAGATATGGTCACGAACTGAGACGTCTTAACATGCAACGTTCTATAGCTTTTGCTATAGTGTGTTCATGTTTGCCAAAAGCCGCCTATGCCAATCTTTTTGCGTCTCTTGATTTTTATCTATCGATTTTCTTTTTCCAGTTTAATAGTGAGGCCCAGGTATGTATTCATTTACGCATTGGATGTTATTATTTTTAATGTATATGTTGGTGTCTTTAGAGCTCATTATTTTTGTTTTATTGGTGACAGAATCCAACGAAATGCAGCAACTAGTCGAGTCTAACAGCACCAGGGCTTTCTCTCAAGCTACTAAGATGGTATATGGACCAACCACTCAAGGACTCAACCCCTTGTCGTCGCACAAGACTGCTTAAAGACAGTTATTTCATCAATTCACGTTAGAAGAAACAATTTCAGGATAGAAAATCACAAATCAATGATATCTTCAACGAAATTCCACAGAAACCAATAGAATTATTACAGATTAGAGGAGCTTGAGAAGGCAATCAAACAACTAAAGAACAATAAGTCAGCTGGTACTGATAGCATTCCTGCTGAATTCTTTAAACAAGG